TCTGAGGTTTTGTTTGCCTGTGGATGTAGTCTTGTTCGCTAGCAAGCTCAATAACTCGGAGACACTTGTCTCCAGCTACGGCACCTTCAGGTTTGGTTTCTTCAGTCCGGTTAACTCCACGGGTCGCTACGCAGGGATTTGGTTCAATAACATTCGTGTGCAGACCGTCATTTGGGTAGCAAACCAAGACAGTCCGATCAATGACTCTTCAGGAGTGATTGTGATATCCAAAGACGGGAATCTCGAGGTTAAGGATGGTCGTGGTTGGGTTCACTGGTCCACAAATGTCTCACGACCAGTGGTAGCTGCTAACGCCACATATGCAAGGCTTCTGAATAATGGGAACCTCGTACTGCAAGGGATTTCAAGCAATGGGGATAAGAATCTATGGGAGAGTTTTGAGCATCCTCAAAACGCATTCTTGCCAAACATGACACTTTCTTCTGACGCAAGAACGGGGAAGAGCCTTAAGCTTAGATCTTGGAAGAGCCCGTCTGATCCTTCGCCTGGACGCTACTCTGCTGGTGCAATTCCTCTGCCATTTCCGGAGCTTGCTATCTGGAAAGATGATCTTATGATATGGCGTAGCGGCCCGTGGAACGGTCAAAACTTTCTAGGAATACCTGAAAGGAATACCTATGCTATCAATCTTTACGAGTTTAGCCTTGGTAGTGACAACCGAGGATCTGTCTCCTTGTCATATGCTAACGATGACTTGCTGTCTCATTTTCTCCTGGACTCCGAGGGGTACGCCGTGGAGAAAGATTGGAACAAGGTTACGCAAGAATGGAGGAACGGGTTAATGTTTCCATGGGGTTGTGATATATATGGTAAATGTGGTCAATTCGCCAGTTGCCAATCCGGGGTAGATCCGCCTTGCAAGTGCATTAGAGGGTTTGAGCCGCAGAGTTACGCGGAGTGGAACAGAGGAAACTGGACTCAGGGATGCGTACGAAAGGCACCGTTGCAGTGCGACAGACGAGACAATAATGGAACTAGAGAGGCTGATGGGTTTTTGAGATTGAAAAAGATGAAAGTGCCCAACAATCCACAGCGATCTGAAGTTAACGAACAAGACTGTCCTGGAAGCTGTCTGAAAAACTGTTCCTGTACAGCTTACTTTTATGACACTGGGCTGGGATGTCTTCTTTGGAGCGGAAACTTGATCGATGTGCAGGAGTTTGTGGGTTCTGGCGTTTCTCTTTACATCCGTCTGGCTGGTTCAGAGCTCAGTAAGTAACAGTTTCACGTCAGTCTCCCCATTTTCCTAAAACTACAGTACACTAACTCACATATATTTCTCACCCAATCTTTTCATAGAATCCTCGAGCAGTCAATCACTTGTGATCGCAATCACATTGGTAGGAGGCACATTTTTTGTCGCGGTGATTGTTCTTTTAGCACTGCGGAAGATAGCAAAGCGTAGAGGTTAGAGTTATATTTAATCATTTCTCTATATATGATTGAACAAAAGTTTTTACTTCTTTTGCATTTCTTTTCGGTTGATTCAACAGAGAAAAACAGAAACGCAAGGTTACTGTTTGAGAGGATGGAAGCTTTAAATAGTAACGAGTCTGGAGCAATCCATGTGAATCAAAACAACCTTCAAGACCTACCATTGTTCGAGTATCAAATGTTAGCTGCAGCCACTGACAATTTCGCTATCACAAACAAGCTCGGGGAAGGAGGCTTTGGTTCTGTTTACAAGGTTTGTAAACAATTCTTTGCTTCATTGGTAGGAGAGGTTACAAGCTGATCTTCGAGTTATGGATTGGCTCTACTTTTGTTTGCAGGGGAAATTACGAGAAGGGCAAGAGATCGCTGTGAAGAGGCTCTCGCGAACATCTGGACAAGGACTCGAAGAGTTTGTGAATGAGGTGGTTGTGATCTCTAAGTTGCAACACCGAAACCTCGTGAGATTGCTTGGATTCTGCATTGAAGGAGAAGAAAGGATGCTGGTGTATGAGTTCATGCCAGGGAATTCTTTGGATGCATATCTATTTGGTAGTAACTTATCATTGGTTTAACTCTGTTCCGTCGCAATTTCCTTGTTGGCTAATGCCCTCGGTGTGTGTCCCTTGCTGAGGAATCCAGACCCGGTGAAGCAAAGATTTCTTGACTGGAAGATACGGTTTAACATAATCGATGGGATTTGCAGAGGTCTTATGTACCTTCATAGAGATTCAAGACTGAGGATCATACACAGAGATCTAAAAGGCAGCAATATCTTGTTAGATGAGAATCTAAACCCAAAGATATCCGATTTTGGACTCGCCAGGATTTTTCGGGGGAATGAGGATGAAGCAAGCACCCTAAGAGTGGTTGGAACATAGTGAGTAGCTACCTATTTTACTAGTACACAGTTTCTCTGAACTTTTTTCGAGGTTTGTTGATTATATAACTGACAAAAGCATAACCCCACAGCGGTTATATGGCACCAGAGTACGCATTGGGAGGGTTATTCTCGGAGAAATCAGATGTTTTCAGCTTAGGGGTCATACTCTTAGAGATTTTGAGTGGAAGAAGAAACTCAAGCTTTTACAATGATGAGCAGAATCTGAATCTTTCAGCTTATGTAAGTGCACTTAATTAGAAACTATGACCTTTCTCTTACAAAAGCTTGTAAAGCTTTGAACCATTCTTATACTTTGATTACTCTGTTTTTTTTAATAGGCATGGAGACTATGGAATGATGGCAATGCTACTGCCCTTGTGGATCCCGTCATGCTCGACGAGTGTTTTGAAAACAAAATACACAGATGCGTGCACATAGGTCTGTTGTGTGTACAAGATCACGCAAATGATAGACCAAGCGTTTCCACCGTGATTTGGATGCTAAGTAGTGAGAACTCGAACCTTCCCGAGCCAAAGCAACCCGCGTTTATAGCTAGAAGGGGCTCTCCAGACGCTGAATCACCATGGCGAAGTGACCAAAGAGCATCCATCAACAATGCGAGCTTCACAGAAATCACAGGACGTTAGCTCTGTAAGTTGAGATAAACCTTATACTAAAGAAAATTTTGACAAACTAATTAAGTTGTATTTTTGTATCTAAGAGTAATCTATAGGATAAAAACTTCATAAATTCAGAATCTGGTAAGGTTATTGTATGAAGTCACATTTATAGAGCACACGAGTCACTTTTGTT